AGTCCCTCACACACTTCTAGATTCTTCCCAGCTCAGAGGCTTGCCATTTGCCGTATCTTGTTATTTTTGAAACGGAGTCTCACTCTGTCCCCCGGGCTGGAGTGCAGTGGTGCAGCCTCGGCTCACTGCAACCTCCGCCTCCCAGGTTCAAGTGATTCTCCTGTCTCAGCCTCCCGAATAGCTGGGATTACAGGCAGCTGCCACCACACCCAGCTAATTTTTGTATTTTTGTTGGCCAGGCTGGTCTCAAACTCCTGACCTCAAATGATCCGCCCTCCTCGGCCTCCCAAAGTGCTGGGGTTACAAGTGTGAACCATTACGCCTGGCTTGTCATATCTTCTACCTGAACCTTTTTCCCCCAGGGTTTCCCAAACTCCACAGCCACATGAGTCAGGGCATGTCTCCAGTCCATCCTTTGCTGCAATGTCCCTTCCTCTGAGAGGCCTTCCCTAAGCACCCAGTCATTCTAAAGCAGCCTCCCTATGGCCACGCTACCCTGCCGCCTTCCTCGAGCACTCCTCGGTACCTGCCACTCTTATCTGGTGGCATGTATGTCATCCACAACTCACCCACTAAGAGTGTGAGCTCCATGAGAACAGGTACCTGCTCCTTCATGTTCATAGTGGTATCCCTAGGGCCTAGGACAGAGCTTGGCACACAGTAGGTGCTCAATAAATGCTTGTTGAATGAATGAATGGCTCCTACTCCTCCTTCAAGCTCAGACGCCCGTCCTCTGAGCAGCGGTCCCTAGTTCCTCCATCTAAAAGGCATGGCCTGCTCCTCCATGCCGCTGCAGCGCTGGTCACTTTCAGTCCTCTATCATGGCTGGGTTCAGGTCGGCCTCCCACGCAGATGCTCTGATTCACTCCTCGCGTATACCACCTTTTGCACAGTCCCTGGCATGTAGTAGGCACTCAGCATATTTGTGGAAGGTAGGAGGACATTCTAAAAAATTCTATTTTTAAAATTATTATATAATAAAATTGACTTGTAAATATATAGTTCTACGAATTTTAACACATATATAGATTGGAATAATCACCATCACAATCAGGACACGGGAAAGATCAGTCGCCCAAAACAACTCCCTCCTGCTATTCTGTTAGAATCCTGACTCCCTCCACGCCTAGCCCCTGGCAACCACACATCTTTGGGCCCTTTCAAGAATGCCATTTGAATGGAATCACACTGTACTGACCTTGGAGATCGGCTTCTTTCATTCAACATAGTGCCTTCGAGATTCAATCAAGTTGTTTTTTTGTATTGCTGAGGAGTATTCAGTTGTATGATGTTGATGCACATTTAGGCTGTTTCCAGTTTTTGGCAATTATGAATAGAGCTGATATAAAAATTCACATATAGGATTGTGTATGAATAAAAGTTTTCTTTTTTTTTTTTTTTGAGACGGAGTTTCACTCTTGTTACCCAGGCTGGAATGCAATGGCGCAATCTCCGCTCACCGC